ACTGATACTGTTTCATGTTTGCAGGCCAACTGGTTTTGTAAGACCTTGAAATGCCTCAACGTCTACAGTTCAATGGCCACCATCAATTGGATGTTCGTCGAGGGCTTTCTTTTTCACCGTCGACTATACGCGCCATTTCACCAGAACACCAAGTGGTACCTGGTGGGTTACTACGTCATCGGCTGGGTTTTTCCCGCTTTGTGCGTCCTTGCCTGGTCACTCTCCCTGGAGTTTGCCTCGGTGGTGGCGCACAAGCCCTGTTGGGAGGGCTATCGAACTTCCAATACCATCTTCATCGTCAGCACGCCGATGATCATCGCAGTGGCAATCAACTTTATCTTCCTTATCAGCATTATTCGCATTTTGATAACCAAATTGCGCGCCGACACTTCACACTCAGATCAGGCGACGATAAAGGCAATAAAGGCGACGGCCCTGCTGATTCCACTGCTTGGTAAGTGAAAAGCTGCTTGATTCCTTCTATGTTCTATGACTTTCTAAAGCACTGCTTACCACTTTAAAGGAATTCACCACATGGTAGTCCTGTACAATCCCTCCACCTTCAACCGGAAGCTAGTCAACGTGTACATCGTCCTCAATGTACTCTTTCAGTCAGTGCAGGGCATCATCGTCTCTGTGCTGTACTGCTTCACCAACAATGAGGTGCGCACTGTGCTCAATGCCGCCTGGTCACGCCGGCGGATGAGCCACTCATTTCACGGCCAGGCGGTGAGCAACAACTCACTGCTGGCCAAGCGACGTCGGCCCAGCATCAACTCCAACTCCTTCAACTCGCTCATCACACAACATCAGGCGAATAAGATCAATAACAACAACAACAACAACAATGTGGATAGCAATGGCAATGCCCTGAACAACAACAGCAACACCATCACCAGCAACAACAACATCACCATCAACAGCAACCTCCCCAACAGCCCCCACAACCCCCACAACACCATTGACAGTGGCGCCAGTGTTCTGGTGCACCTCAACAACAATCACTTGCCGCCAAACCTGACACTTGGCGGGGAAGAATCCTTCTCTTATGACAGTAGCTCCAAAAAGAAACAACAGAAGTCAGCACCATCGGCGCCAGCAGAAGCGACGGCGGAAAAGCTGCCCAACAAGAGCAAGAAAAAGGCAGCGAAGAAGAAGAAAAAGAAGGATCAGAGCAGCATCGGAGCGGCAGAGCATCTCACCAGCACGGCCACCACTACCACAACGATGATGGTGCAGTCATCGGGCTACCGACATGCAAACTTGTTTCCCGCCAGCACCGCCATACCACCGACGGCCTCCATCACCGACCTGTAGAAATTGGGGATTCCAATGATGACAGCACAGTCTGAGCAGTGATGACAGTGGTCAACAAAAAAAGCAGAGCAGCTGATTTGGGCAAATAGCAAGGACGAAAAACGGTGAGGATAAAGAAGAAGGAGTCGATGAATAGGAAAAGTAGAGCGACCACTGGTTACACTCACCTGCACCCGTATTTTTTATGAAGGATTTTTCTTCTTTTTCTCTTTACTTTTTTTGTTTTTTGCAGTTGCAGTCCATCTGCCCCACACTAGTACTTGCTGTTGCCTGGGGCAAACATCCGTGCATACTGTGCACACTGGACTAACTTGTTATCTGATCTCGCCGTCGACGTATCGATTCAATAAATGAAAATCGGCCAGTAAACGAGTTACTCTCTCTCTCTCTCTCTCTCTCTCTCTTTTTCTCTCTCTTTTTTTACTTGGCTTTTAAGCATTCACTGCTAGGTGACTTCCCTCAACAACGGACAGATTACCGTTTTCTTTGGCTTAAGACGCCTTTCTCCCTTTTCTGCCGTCTCACTCAGTGAATTGATGCGGCCAATGGCCCTTACTGTGGCGGCTATGGACGTCGCTTTTGCCACTTAACTTTTTTCTGTCAGTCATCGCCTGTTGCTGTTTTGCAAACAGTGGTTTCTACTGCCTGATTTAAGCGGTTTGTCGGTAAAATTGCCAAACTTGAGGTAGAAAAAAGGGAATAGCAGAAAAATAAAAAAACGGGCATTTGGCGGTAGTAGCAGTAACGAAAGAGGGAAGCCAATCGGAACGACTAGCGAGCTAGTGTGTTGTTTGACCACAACAACAACAACTGACTGCCTCAGACCGGCTGTTGTTGATACTGCTGCTTCTGCTGCTGTTGCTGCTGCTGCTGCTGCTGCTCGCCTCGACGGCCAGCAAGTGATGGTAATGATGATGATGACAGTGATGATGACCTAAGGTAACAGTGTGTACAGTTGTTTTGCTGCTGCCTCTACTCGTCCGTACTGGCTGTCTCCTTAGCTTCTCTGTCCGAGGCTGTTTTTGCCCTTTCGGACTGCCCTGACACGTATTGAGTGCTAGCGGCAGCAGCTGAGCTTGGACTGCCTGGTCTGCATAGCTACAAAGTGTTTGTGCCTTTCTCAATCAAGGTCAGCCAAGTTAAGAAGGGCAGATCGAGTCAGCTGAAACGTTTCAGTCAGTCAGTCCGGCAGGCAGGCGGCATCTGACCCTTATCACCGCTATCCACAACACTATCACCACCATCAGCCCATGAAGTTTTGGTCATCATCATCATTACGATTATCATCATCCGCCTCTAACGACATCCGCCTCTGCTGATCTGTTGCCCCACCACCACCCTATTGGCAGACTGTCGGGAAACTACCACCATTGCCATGAATGACTACCTTTTGTGGCACCTGCTGTACCAGGTGCCTCTGCCCAGTCGCTTCATTGACGTCCTCTTCACCGTCTACACCGCCATTCAGCTGTACATCTTGGGGGCGATCTACGTCGTCAAGGAGATCCACCGAAAGTTCTCCAGCAGCGTGCGCAAGCTGACGCCCGACGAGCCGGACATTCCCAATAATCTGCTGAAGTACGTCGCCATCGTCACCGGCGGCTCGCGGGGCATCGGTCTCAGCGTGGCGAAGGACCTTTACCGGCGCGGCTGCACGGTCATCATCACCTCATCGGCGACCGCGGAGGGCGAGCGGCGGAAGGTGGCCGACGAGGTGCGCCACTCGGTGACGCCCACCGTGCCCGGCGGCCGAGTGCTGGTCTGGTGGGTCGATTTCCGGCAGCTGAGCACGGTGGCCGACTTTGCCGCCCGCTTCAGCCGCACCTTCGCCTCGCTGGACATTCTGGTGAACAATGCAGGGGTGATGTTCGTGGAGAAGGCGTATACCGGGGACGGCTTCGAGTACCACTACCAGATCAACTACCTGAGCCACGCGCTGCTCACCTGGCTGCTGATGCCGGTGATGCACCGCGCCAACAAGGTCAGTCCGGCCCGGGTGGTGAACGTCTCCAGCAGCACCCACTACCCGCGCAGTCTTTTCATCGAGGACCTGCAATCGCTGAAGACGCCCTACTCGCCCTTTCACGCCTACGCTCAGTCGAAGCTCTGTCAGGTGATGTTCACCTACTTCATGGCCGACTGGCTGAAGAAGCACCAGGGCGAGTACCGGGTGCTGGTCAACTCGCTGCACCCGGGGGTGGCCAAGACCGGCCTCTACCAGCACGTTTGGTGGGTGAAGATATTCCCTAGAATAGCTCGACTTCTTTTCAGGGTAAGTAGTAGTAGAAGTGGTGGTGGTGGACGATAACGTTTGGCTATTTCACTAACAAACTGCTTTTTTGTTTTCACCTTTACAGACGGCAGAAGAAGGCGCAGAGACGGTGATTTACGTCGGATTGTCGAGCGAGGTAGAATCGAGTGGCTACTACTTTGAAGACTGTGCCAAACTTCAATCGTCTCGATTCTCGCTGGACAAATCCATTCAACGCCGACTGGCTGCCCTCACTAAACAACAGCTTTATGATGCTATTGAGCAGTACAATCGAAACTATCCAGATTTTGCCGTTAAGCAAATGCTTGCATAGGAACAAAGTTTTAAGAACAACAACAATTTTTTACAACAGTGAGACTAAATTTAGACGATCTATTTGCTTAATAAATCTGTATTATTGAACATTTATTAAAATTTGCATTTGCGTTTGATTTGTTTTGTTCAAATTCTGTTAAAAAACTTTTTTACATAAATTTTTTAATAAAACCTATGTTTATGTAATAAAATTTTCAGTTAAAACGATTCTATTTTAATTTTTTTAAAAATGACAATTTTTTAACTAATAAATCACTTACCGGCTGAACATGTTTTAACATAAATTCAATGTTATATTTCAATATAAAACATGCGAATTACAAATCACTTTAAAAATAATAAAGTTTAGACAAATTGAACGCCATCAAGGAGCAGTTTTTTAAATGTTTTTATGTTTATCTGTTGTTTTTATCTACTTTGTTATGCATAGCATTTAAAAAATACAAATAAAAAAATAATGTTTAAAAACAATTTTTAAATTTTTAATTTGTAAAACTAATTTTTTTTGTTTTTTAAATTCAAGTTATTTGAAACTTTATTCAGTTATTTTTAATTATATTTTTAAATTAATAAATGTTTTTTTTGTTATTTTTTTAATTTAAAAAACAAAAATTATTTAATTAATAAAAACGGAAGTTTATCAGTTTAGATAATGTTAGCGTAAATTAACAGGTTTTTTGATAGTTATATTTAGTGTAAATGTAAATTTGTTTTTTTACTGCAATCTATAGTTAGAACAACTTAATTTTAGATAACTAATAAATTCAATTTACTTGATGAGTAGACTAACATTAAAATATGCAATCGGGGAAACCTTGTGAACAAACATTGATGTTTTACAAACTAAAAACAGTACATTAAATAGTATGTTTTAAAACATTACATTTAATTAAGTTTCTAAATAAACAATCATTAAAAAAATTTAAAGTACATAAATAATGAACTTGTTTATTGATAATAAAAACAAATTACACAAGTTTCTCATTAATTATAACATTTATGCAAATGAAAATAACCTTTAAATTTTTTTTGAATGAAGATTAGAATAATAATTTATTTTTTAACACATTTTGTTGATTTAAAAAACAAAAGGTTGTTATTTGACATTATTGTTGCCAAGCCAGTAGCTATTCATCTCAACGTTGTTTGTCATGTTTGTGATTTTAGACACGTAAACTGGCATCATTCCTTTGAATATGTCTGTATCGGAATAAAAATCCTGAAAACTGGACACAAAATGGCCCTCATCGACTGGTTTACCGACCGCCTGGTTATTGTAGAATGCAAACGGAAGCATTCGGTTTTCTCTTTCAAATGTCGGTTCAGTGGGAACTACGGCGCCTACATTTGAACTAGATTCAGTGACCACCACATCGACATCATCATCAACTGCAGGCAGGCGGGTAGTGGTGAAGAAGAAAAACAATGGCCCTTGCGAGGAGATGGAACTGCGAGTGTTCACCTCCACTGATATGCTAGTGTGCGTTTCATCCGCATCACTACTAATGCTGCTGGCTGTGGTCAGGGGTGACCCTGAAGTGAATGAAGACGGCTCAGAAGAAGAGGAAAGAGCAGTACTGTTTGCACCGGTGCTCAGTGTGCCCTGTCGCTCCTTGAGGGCAATTAGCTCTCTAATAAACTGCTTGGTTGGGTTTTCAGTGGCCACCTCTTCTTGCTCACTCACCGATGATTCGCCCTTGACAATCTCCGCTAGACTGCTTTTCACTGTAGTGCTCTGGATTTCAGCACTTTCAGGACTCCAGTTGGTGCCTGTGGTCACAAGACCAATGTCGTCAATGTTGCTAGAGCTGGTAGTGGTAATCGATGATGAGGCGATTTCAAGTGGAGTGACCACAATACTTTCAATATTGGCTGATGTGGTCACTGCTTGAGAGGAGAAATCAGGGCCTTTTTTCCTTGAGGAAGTTGTGCTGGACTCGCTGTTGCTGTTGAGCTCACTCTGCTTGGGAAAACGTTCATTAGAGGGAAACGCCGAGTCAGTTATATCCTCAACGCTAGTCGCTGGTGTGGAGAGATCGGCCGTAGTTTGATCGTAGTCAGCAGTGGTGCTCACTTGAAGACGATTTTTCAGGTGGCTGTAAAGAAACCCGCCTTTCAATGGTGATACTGTTGTTGTTGGCTCAGCAAAGCTGTCGACACTGTCAGTTGAAAACCCGCTAGTTTTATCTACTCTTTCTTTGCCCAAACTTGGGGATGAATCCTTTACGTAATCTGGCAATAGAATGGCTTCAGTAGACGACTTTACAGGTGATACAGTTGTCGCAAATAGTTCCTTTAGCTGCTTCTCTTTGTAACTGGCTAGAGTTGTGAAAATTCCCAAATATGGTGCGTTTTCTGACACAATTGACTGTCTGCTTCTGATTGTTTCAGTTGAGGGCATTCTACTTTCCCGATCAGCGCTGTTTGGGATGATAACTGAAGTGAAAGTAGTACTGGCTTCAGCGTACTCAGTAATTGGAGGCGGAGGGCTGGTGGTGGTGGCGATATCATGATGACCAAGGGACAATTGATTAGCCAAAACTGCCGTCTCATTGTCAGCAGTGACTGACTTCTTACTGTTACGAATGCTGATGTTTCCCACCGCTCCAATAAGGGCTTTCATAATGCGGCTGTGTTCAAACGATGATAGTACCTCACTGTAGGCTTTGCCGCTTCTGTTTTGATTTGACGGGAGTACGGATGTGACGTTTTGTTCCATTTGGCGAGGAACTGTGCTTGTAGCAATAGAAACATTTTGAGCAGTGTGAGCAGCTTTAAATAGTATGAAAAGAGTAACTTTAGCATTGTTGGTTCAACCAGTTACCTAATGCAAAAAATAAGCAACAAGAATACACACTCACCAGAATGCCAGTTGCCGAACCAATTCCACGGATTAGTCAAACCATAGTAGTAGCCGGTAACAATGGGAACGTGGAACAGCAGAAGGGCGCACAGCGCCAGCACGTGAATTAAAGCTTTCATGGCTCTAGTCAGACAAAAGTGTGCTTGACAAGGCCAAACACTTTCTTCTTTCTAGCCTGACTAAAACTGACGCAAAGAATTCGGCAACAACAGCAGCAGCAGCAAGAGCAGCAGCAGCAGCGTCGACCACCAACAAGTGCCCGTCGGCATGTGCACTGTCCTGAAGAATGAAGCTCCAGAGAGTGTGAGACTCTTAGCACTTTTCACTTTCAACTGAACTATGGGCACTACTGGCAGCAGCAGCAGCAGCAGCAGCAGCAGCAGTACCACCAGCTCTGGCACGTCAAGTCAATTCTGTTCATCTGCCCAACTGACGATTTATGCCTGCTTTTGTGTAATGGCCCATGCACGTAAGTGTCTGTCTGTTTGTCTGTCTCTCTGTGTGTGTGCCTAGTGCCCCTCGCTTTCGTGCAGCAAGTGAAAGTGAACTGGAAATGTCGGTCAGAGTGCGTCTGCAGCAGCGGTGCCCACCTTTGAACTAGCTAGGGAGAGTGTGCAGTGAGGGTACAGGTGCCTCTTCACTCATCGTCATCATCACCATCTTCCTCTTCATTCTTCAGCTCTCTCTCTCTTTCTTTCTAGTCAGAGAGTGGTGCAATGCTTGGCCGGCCAATGAGAGCAATTCAACTGACGGGCACTGACTTGAGCCAGCGGCGCACCACTTCTTCAGCATTCTCTTCACAGTTCTGAATACCGTGCAAAATTTATTGAGCTCTAGCACACTGCCAACTGCAATCTTCGTGTACTGCCTAAGGGGGCTAACCTTTTTTGCAGAATGTCTACTTTATGGCTATTAAACTAACATGCTTGCCTTCACTCAAACCACAGACTTTTATTGCATTTTTGCTTTTCTAAAATATTTTAATTTTTACGCAATGGTTTTAGCAAATTCGGTTATTTTAACATAAAAATGTGGAAAATGTTTTGATGTGGATAAAGAACATTCTTTTTATCAATTTCAATTGTTAAATCATTTATTAAAGTTAAACAAATTGATCAATTTAACGCAATAGAACATTATTGTTGCATAAAATTTCAGTGAATTAAAACGACAAACAAGTCAATGGAAGTTCACTTTAAGCGCCCATGAATTAGTAGTGCAGTTCTTTTCAAAATACTAGTATGCAATTTGTTGGTGTCGGCATAAGCTCACAGAGAACAAAGTAACTGTTGCTTGTTGGCGGTTGGTAAACTGCAATGCAACGTCCGTGAGGTTTTAATCGACCACCAAGAGAGCACTATGGCACTGCTACTGCCTGCTAGTTCACCAAAGGGTAATCAGCCTGTAGCCGGCAGACAGAGAGGACTGCAGATAAGACTGACTGAATGAATAAAAAGTGTAAAGAAAAAGAGTCAGGGACAGAGAAAAGAAAGAAAAAGAGAGACAAAAACCAAGAAAAAAAGAAAGAAAAGAAAGAAGGAGCAAAAGTGAACAAATGGAGAGAACCAGTTTAGCCAGCACAGATCAATTGGCGCCCTAACGAAGAAGAGGGGGCAGAAAAGAATGAGTGGCGCCCCGGTAAGTAAGTGGAACATCGCCAGAAGTCACGTCGATGCTCTGTTGCTGCTGCTGTCTGCAAACTCCGTTTGCTCAATCATCAGCAGAAACTCATTGCCTTAACCAGATCAACTGACCCTGATAAAACTTTAATTTTGCTGAAGCACCCGAACAAACACATGCACAAAAAGAGCAAGAGAGAGAGAGAGAGAGAGAGAGAGAGAGAGAGTATATCTAGCGGTAGTAGTAGGCATTGGCATTTCCTAAGCAGTGGCAGCCATTAGCAGGTTTTGCAGGTCTGCAGACCTCTTTCTCGGTCACACTCAAACGCCGACACACAAACCGACCGACCGACCGACCGATCGACGGAGACTGTGAAACAGACAAATAGATAGATAGATAGTGCCGAAATGGCAAGGCGCCAAATAAAGCCTTTGCTCAGCAAAGAAAAGAAAGGGGCAGATGAGAATGGTAGCGTCGGTAGCCTACCTGGTGCGTCACTCTCCGCACAATGTCCACAAAGTGGAAAGAGGTGGTGAGTGTCAAGAGAGTAAGTAAAAAGCACACTGAGACACACTAAAGAAAGACAGACATTGATGTGTGTGTGAGTGTAAGTGCGAGTGAGTGCTGAGAAATGTATTAAAAACACCCCCAATCACAGCAACTTTTTGCCAAAGTTTCCTCGTCTGATCCGTGCCTTCCAGTTCCTCACTCAGTTCAGATGCTCATTTTCGTTTTATTTTATCCTGGTTATCGACTTCACGTAAGGAAAGTGACTCTTTCTCTCTCTGTTTTAAACTGTGTCTGCCTGTTCGTTCACTAGTGACTACTTCTTCTGAACAAACCTGCGACAGTGACTTTAGACTTGACACGACTTTTCCAATGTCCCATCTTTACCACCAGTCAGCCTCTGATAGTTAATTATATTTGCGCATAATACTCTGTCATCACTTTAGTTTTCACTTTAGTGCACCACGACAACAGCAGCAACAACAACCACCAATGACGACCACCAATTATTTGTTCTCAATAATTGCCAATACTGCAGCACATCACTGAGACGCCGTTTTGTTTGTGTCTCACCATTTTTGTCTAGATCTTTGTTCCACGCAGTCTAAACGGCGGACAACAGTTTTTTCCTGCTAATTTTTGCGAGATCTTAAAATCCCTGAACGGGTCACCGTCACCGTCCATTTGCCTGATGGCAGCAAACTTGTTCGGTGCTACTGCTGTTTCTGTTACTGTTGCTTCTGCTCACCGGTACTCATCTGGCGTCTGCTTTACTGTTGCACTATTTTGCTAGTGCCAAACTAGTGATTGCTCTTCTTCTTCAATTAGACCAGTCAGTCAGCAAACGGGGGATCCTCTTCTTTTTCTACTTTTTTTTGCACCACTAACACTCGCTGATTGTCATCTTGCCCGGCTGACGAGAGCAAAAGCAGTCAGTGATAGCAGGAGTGAGTTAGTGAGTCAGTCAGTTAGTGAGGGAAAAGTGCACTAAAACCGTTTCATCTCCCCGCTTCTTCTTCTTCTTCATCTTCTCACTAACGGAACATTAGTGGTCAGTAGTGTGCGGTTGCTGTCGTTCCTTCTGCTGAGAAGTTAGTGATATTTATTCAGTGCATTTAAATCAGTGCACTCGTCCCTCCCGTACTGTGCAGCAGTTTACGTTTGAAAAAATCGTCTCAGCCTGAAGATGATGCGCGCACTGGACGCCCGAGTGGTCAATGCCACTGCCAACTTGCTGGGCGAAAACTCGACGCTCTTCTGGTTTGTGCACACCTACTGGGAGGACACCGCCGATCCGCGCACCAAGGGCTACACCCTGGTGGACATCTCCAATGTGACCATCTCCCTGGTGATGATCGTCTACACCTTGCTCGTCTGGGTGATCATTCCGCGGTACATGCGCAAGCGGGAACCGTACAATCTCAAAAATGCCATCATTTTCTACGACTTTTTCATGGTAAGAACGAGTATTGTTTTTGTAATGTTGCCTTTTGTACAAATGCATTATCAGTTGAGCTTTCTTGGGTAAAACTCATAATGCATGTTTACAATTTTGTAACAAGCAATTGAATTTACAAAAAAATATGGTAATTAGAAAATATTTTTATTTTAGGTTGCAGTGAATTTGTACTTCTTTGTGAAAACCATTCAACTGTCAAAGTGGGGTCAAGAGCTGTTCAAGTTCTACGACACTCGTGGCGACACATCGGAGCACGCCATGGCGTACATTGACGTTGCCAACCTCTACTACATCTCCAAACTGGTGGACATGTTTGACACCTTCTTCATGGCTTTCCGCAAACGCGACTCACAAATTAGCTTTCTCCACGTATGGCACCACACTTCACTCAGCTACGCCGGCTGGCTGTACATGAAGTACAATCCATGTAAGTGGTTTTCCAATAACATGCAAATTGTCACTTATTAAAATTACGACTTTTGTTTGTTAAACTTTGCAGACACACCTTCCATCATGTTGATCCCTTTCATCAACAGGTAAAATTTATAGTTGTCCGTTTGTATATTTGTGATATTGACCTAAGTCTTTTTTGAACAAAATCTTTTTCAGCTTTATTCACATGGTCATGTACGGGTACTATGGATGCGCCGCAATAGGGCCACACATGCGCAAGTACCTCTGGTGGAAGAAGTACATCACTCAGATTCAGCTGTTCCAATTCACCGTTGTCTTTCTCTGGTACATTCAGCTGATGCTGCGCCAGACCAACCTGCCCATTGGCTACCTGCTCTGCAACTTTTTCAACTCTGCCTTCTTGTTTGGCCTTTTTACGCACTTTTACATTCAAAGTTACCGCGCTGAGAAGAAGGCAAAATCTGCCTAGTTTGTGTGGGCTGCAAACAGTGCCAACTGATTTTGCTACACTCTCTCTTTGTTTTAAGGCTACTTTTCT